ATAATTGGTTTTAGGGGAGCACCAGGAGAGTGCTGCCTCTGTCCTATATTAGGGTTCCCAGGTCACCGGCTTGGACCTGCGCCCCGCCTGTGTGGAGGGAACCTTGACATGGAAGCTGGGTGAGCACAGGCGCCCAGACTGGGGACTGAATCAGATTTCCCTCCTGAATTTCCAAGAGGCGGACGGGCTGTCTGGATTACCTCATGTGCACTGGCTCGGCCCTGGGAACACAGAGGCCATGTAGCAGTGTTCGGGGAGAACAGAAAACCAGAGCGGAGATTCCGTGATGGCTCACCATAAAGTGACAACCTCGATCAAAGGCACAGAGCGAGCCGTACTCTGGCGGGAAAGCACTTAAGCCAAAGAGAATCTTACTAGCTTGTTGGCAAAAGGCAGGGGCAGCAACCAGAATCCTTGACCTTGAAACTGGAGAAAATCAGCCCAGGGCCCACCCTTACCCCTTCCCATCAACTGTGATGAACGGGAAGAAAGTCTAGAACGAAACAAGGGTCTCCTTGTTTATTCGGACTAAGTGGAAGACTGATGTTCTCATCAGATGTATTCACCTTTCTTGTTGCTTGCCAAAATACCTAAAACACACAACAGCCCCTAGTCCATACCAAGGAAGAAAAGCAACTCGAGGGGGAAAAAAGTTAGTTTGTCCTCTTACGTGGCATTTTAGGCAGTTGTTTAAATTACATTTGTAAAGCTAAATGGCCAGTAAAAGATTTTCTTCCACCAGGAAAAAAAAAAAATGTCATGAGTGACACCTTAGGACTAAAGAAGGAAAAGAAAATATTACCTAAACATCGAAAAAAGGAATTCTTCCATTTAGCTCCTAATTTTGAGACACGGGCAAAGTAAGGCCAGGCGTGACAGGCTCCAGTCTACATAAAGAAGAGTGGGACCATCTCTTGGCAGAGATTTATCGAGGAAGATGGTTGGGGGAAAGGCCTTCCCAATGTCCAAACACGAACACGTGTCCGGCCTCTGTGAAAGGTACACAAACGACACGTCCAGAAGAACGTCCCGCTGAGAGAAGACGAGCCGAAATCGAGGAAACCACTTCCGCTCGTCACCTTCGCTGTTTTCTCACTTCGTTCTGTTTCCTAGACGACATCCATCTCTGATCCAGCCCCTTCTCGCTACCAGCTTGTTTTTCTAAGTCACGAGAACAGGCTTATTTGTGCATAAATTCCCCAGGCTAATTTTGGAGGAGAGGGTTCACCGACACGACCGTGCGGGAGCATGTTAATAAAACTTTAGCACGTACCAAAATAGTGTAACAGTTCGGGGCTTAGACAAGATGCATACGACGTTCAAGTACTTTATTGAATAAATAAAGGGCACACGGGCTGCTTAGAATCCCTAGCCACCACTTCAAGTCGTATTTGTAAATTCGGCACAAGAAGGTTTTTAAAAAGATTTTTGTTCTATTTCTCATGAGCACATTCCTGAGAAAAAGGGCTAGCGTATTTGCCAGTGACTTGGGCCTGGGAGTTCTGACTTGGCAGAATGTCCGGAAGGAACTCTATTGTCAACCCAGGAGAGAAGGGGCCCTCTCACTGGAGCCAAGTGACCACCTGCGTCTCTCTCGGCATCTTTCCGTGGCCACTTTCAACACGAGCGACACACGCCAGGCCCCAGCAGCCCCGTGCAGATCACGCGGGTTTGCGTTCCCTTCCTCGCCTCCACCTCACTGGACGTGTGTGTTTCCAGGCAGTCAGTCGACAAACATTTACGTGCCAGACTCAAAGCTCCAGAGAGATGCACAAGTAAGCGGAAACTAAGCGGGTGGGGAGTAAGGAACGGGGAGTGTGGGAAGAGAGAGACTCAAAGACACGGGATGTCTCAAAGAGGGAGTCTGTAACATCTTTAGAAGGAAGAACACAGATGAAGAAATCTCCCCTCCTCTCCCTCCACCCAAGGCTTACCTCCCCCGGACCCCGCCAGCGCCTGAGGTACAGAGGACGCCCGGCAGGTGTGCGAGAAGGCAAACGAGGGTGACAAAGGAGCGATTGTGAGGCAGCTCTGGGGAGGCTGAGCAGGACGAAATCGCCTCTCTCTCTCTCTCTCGCAGAGAGCAGCCCACTGCCATTATCTAGTTTGCAGATGGACCACCCAGAAAACCTGAGAGCAATTAGGAGGGAGAAAAGCAAATGGGGCGGGGGGTCGCCGAGGATGATGGCAGGCGTGGAGTCCCCAGGCTGTCTTACGCTAGGAACTCGAAAGCGAGGCCAGACACTGGGACCCAAAAGGAAATGGACGTCGCCAGGCGGGGGTGTGCACGCTCACGCTCACGCTCACGCTCGCACCCCCGGTCACATCGGCAACAGGGTCGTGAAGTTCGCGCAGCCATCAGAAAGCAGATGTTCAGACGCGGAAGGTAGGAAACCACGTTTAAACCCTAATGATCCTCTGATGTCCCCCGAAACATGTAGAAGTGAATTCCGAACAGGATAAGGGAGTGTTACAAACGATGAATTCTTTTTATCAATGAGCGAAGGTGGTAAAGATATATGCTTTGGGAAACCTAGTCTCATTTTTTTGGAAAATATTTATGAATAAGAGTTTTATACGAAAAAAGGAAAGAAAAGATGGCCGACAGCCCGTGGCTCCCTTCAACGCTCTCCTCTCCTGCCACCCTAAGGTCTCGTGGCTGACATTTTGTGCTGCTGTTCTGGGCCAGGCAGCATGCTGTGTTGTACATACTGCTGCATCACCCCCCCCCCCCCCAAAAAAAATAAACACTATTCCTCTTCCTCTGTAACAGATGAAGAGACCATCTATCATACGAAATATCTTGCTCAAGGTCGCTTGGCTGATCAGCGGCTGAGCCGGAATTCAAATGCACGTGACCCTCCGACCTGAGTGCATATAAACCTAAAAGCAACAAAGGGACAGAACAAACAGACCATCAAGGTCATGGACAATGGACTAGTGGTTACCAAAGGGTAGGGAGTCAGGGAGGAGGCGTGAGGTAGATGGGGTAAAGGGACCTAACAACAAGGGGGTAGAGGGAGGGTGAAGTGGGTAAAGGGGATCAAATATATGATAGCTGCAGGAAACCGGACTTTGGGTGTAATCACACAATAGACTATATAGATGTCAAATAAGACACCTGAAAATTACAGAAATATATTAACCAATATTACCACAATAAACTTCATTTACGAACTTTAATTAATTTATTTATTTTTTAAAAATCTATAGGCAATCAATAACTGGTTTTCTTCAGGGAAGTTAGGGTTTTATTCATGCATGTTAACAGCTATTTAAAAAAATATGGAAATACTTTCAGAAAATAACTGTACCTGAGTTTCTAAAATGCTCTGATTTCTAAACTTTTACTCCAAATGCAAGCAATATTGATAAATTTATTTCTTAGTAATGAAACCATTGCAAAACTGTGAACCTTTAATCATTACAAATTCTCAAACTGAATTGATAAATACTCATTAGAGAAATATGGTTTCTATGCAGGTCTCAAAGAAATTCTAGGTCCTTGAAAGCTGAGTAGGTGCTAAGCACTGCATCTTAAGTGTCTAAGGGGCAGAAAAGCCCTGCCTGACCTGAGCCCTGAGCCCTGAGCCGTCTTGCGCAATGGTTACGGATAGGTCTGCCATGAGGCAAGCCCACGCCCGTAGTCAGGGTTGTAAGCGTACCTACCGGTTTTTGTCTTGATGACTAATACTTTTTTTACAGTAATTAGCACGGCTGCCAGACAATGAACACTATGGACTCACTTATTAAAAAATAAGCCATAGATAAACACGAAACCACAACTTTGATTTCAGACTCTGCCATCCCATTCCTAAGTTAGCGACCGTTATTGGAAAGTATACCCCAAATACTTCTCAAAAAGTACGAACGCTTTGTCTTCATTGCTTTGAAAGATGGTACAAACAAACGGACTGTAAAGAAAACACGCAGTAGGAATCTCGGCAAGTATGCAACTTCTAGATTTTTTTTTTCTCATTACTTACACATTTCTCTCTAAGCCTTTATAAGGTGGGCTATACTCATAATTTCCGAGATGCTGCGTGTCTCTGATACAGTAATGCCTCTTTATTACGCTGCAAATTGTTCTTAGGCCCAGGTAAATTTCCTTTGATATTATTTAGATTTTAACTACATGCAACCTAATAACATTTTCACATGTGATTAAACAAAAACTAGTCACACGTCCAGCTGTTAGGTACAGAGACGTGGAGCCTGATGCTCCATGAAAAATACAGAGAAAAACAGCCACATTTGTCTCCACGAACCAGTCAGTATGTGACATGCTACTTTCTCAGCACCAGTAGAAAACAATTCATCAAAAACAAAACAAAACAAAACAAAACAACCCACAGGTATACTTGAAGGGAAATGCAACAAGATTTACATGGATAACACGTATTGTTCAGTGTGCAAACCTCCCTGGGCGACAACTCATCCTTCAGTATAGTAATTGGGCCTGAGATCAAAAGGCCTCGCTATCGACTACTCTTCGGTAATGCCGCTGGAATGACACTTTCCCACCTTAAGAGAATATTGCTGCTATTTCTGTTCTCAGCATCTGGCTTGTTTTACTCGTGTCCAGACCCAACAGAAACCCCAGTTTAGCCCGAGGGCAGGTGCGGTGACCCGGGAAGTCAGATTTCACGTTGCCACCGAGAGAGCGTGGTTTAAATCTCACCATGACTACATTCTTGGAGAATAACCAAAATGCTTAAAACCGAGGGGAGGGAAGGGGACACGGGACGGCACAGTGCGGCGAGGGGCGGGCGGGCTCGTGTCCAGACCCAACAGAAACCCCAGTTTAGCCCGAGGGCAGGTGCGGTGACCCGGGAAGTCAGATTTCACGTTGCCACCGAGAGAGCGTGGTTTAAATCTCACCATGACTACATTCTTGGAGAATAACCAAAATGCTTAAAACCGAGGGGAGGGAAGGGGACACGGGACGGCACAGTGCGGCGAGGGGCGCAGAGAGCGTCGGATGGGATGGGGGTGCCCACCTCTTCCCGTTACTGTCGTGAAGCATCTCTTTTCCCATCACTCTGGTCTTGGTTTCCAGCTCCTGCACTTCCTCCAGCAACGTCTTCCTGCAGGTATGCTTGGCCCTGTGTCACAAGAAAAAGATAGTAAGAACAGGACACGTGAACTTTGTGCAGCTGCGAAGACCAGTTGGCGGTTCCCCTCTTGGGCCACATCTGGACGCCATGTGACTGGCTGAGGCTGAGGCCTGGGGCGTCGTGGAGCACCTGTGGTCCCCGAGCATGGCGAGGGCTCCACCTTCATCGCCTGGGGAGTACCTCAAGGCCTGCAGAATGTCAGAAGCCACCCCCGCTCCCAGGCGACTGCCTTCTGCTGACAGCCTGCAGATCTGGCTGAGGATCCCAGCCATTCAGACCCAAGATTGAGGCTCCTGGACACTCATGAGTCCATCGCCAAAGCTTCGCACAGCAAGACTCAATTAACAACCCAGAAAATGCTTTAAACCCTCACCCCAGTGGCCCTGTGCTGGTCCCTCAGCCTTGTCCCCTCCTGTGATCATAAAGTCTGGGGCGAGCAGCTTCCTCTCTCTCTTTTCAGTATGAGAAGAGCCAGTGCCACAGCAAGACTAAGATTTACGATGCCAGAGATCAGGCTCTTCATGCCAACCCCTGAAATTTAGGGCCAACGCCAACGCCAACCTGAAATTTAGGGCCAACGCCAATGCCAGGCACAGCTTTTCCAACTTCCTCTTGCACAGCCTGGCCATGAGGGACCACGGACGATTGGCGGAGTGGCAAAAGCAAGCTGGCCTTTGCAGTACAATTTCCACCTCCGCCTAGACACTCACTCGTCTTGAATTGCAGGAAGAGCTACGTGCACCCTTTTTCTGATTAAATTTTGAGGAACATCTTACATTGCTCAAACATGTGGCTGATCTCAGGGTCTCCCTAAGATTGAGACGAAACAGCTGGAAACAATATTGGTGAAGAAAAGGCATTTAAGAGGATACAGGTTAGAAATAGGTAAAAAAAAAAAAAAAAAAAAAAAAACACAAAAAAAAAAAAAAAAAAGACAAAC